CCACAACCAGACACTGGCCACCTCTCCCTCTTCATCTCCTTGCCCCTCTCCTTAGCTACTCACCATTCTCCCATGCAACAAACTGTTTTGTGCCTCCGTGCCTCTGTTGATGTTCCTTCTGACTCTTCTTCCATTGTCTCATTCTTTCTTGCTTTTCCAAACAGTGCTACAGAAAGCCTTCCTCTGTCTTTAGGCTAGGCTAAATATGTCTTCGAGGTACTGTCTTCACACTCTGTTCTTGCTCCTCTCATTGCCAGTACATTGGATTGATGTGGATTCCTTAGATTTCTGTATCATGGCCCTATCTGCATCCCCAGTGCCTGTCTCCACACCAGGAACACAGGGGATGCCAAGAGGAAGCAAGTCCTCATCCCTGCAGGAGCACTATCCATGTTTCTGGCTCTCTCTGTCTCCCCTGTCACATTCCCATCAATTAAGTTTTCACACCCTCAGCTGTTCTGCACAGGAAGACCACTTGTTGACTATATTCCTACAAGTTCTTCCCTCAACACTGAACATTCTGGATCCTCTGTCGGACAAAATCCCCAAGATGTTACTGTATATGTGTATGCGTTCATGTGTTTGCACATGTGTGTATGAATGCCTGTGCTTATGTGTGTGGAGGCCAGAGGTCAATGTCTGATATCTTCTTTAGTCATACCCTACCTTATTTTTGAGACAGGATCTCTCATTGAACCTGGAGCACACTGATTTGTCTAGGCTGGCTGGCCAAGAAGCTCCAGGGTGCCACCTGTTTCTGGCTGCCCAGCTCTGGGATTATAGAGATGCACCACTGCACCTGACTTTTTATATGGATGCTGGGGATCTCAGCTCGGGTTCCCGTGCTTGCAAGGCAAGCTCTTTACTGACTGAGTTCTCTTCCCAGCCCCCAAGGTATTATTTTTACTTGTCTTCCCACCTCTAGCACACGGTGGAACTCCAGAGGTCACCAAACACCAGAGACCTCCCCATTAGCACATCTTCCTCTTCCCACGGGAGGTGATATTTTCAGCAGCATCTAATGCTCCCAGTTGAGCCAGTCTGGACCCCTGAGACTGTTTTCCCTGGAAGAATGGGGCTGTTACCACTCACAGAACCTCCAGTTATTGTTAGCTGAGTCTACGTATCTGTTATGTATAGAACTTTGTATCGGTGGTGGTGATGGTGACGGCAGTGTGTGTGTGTGTGTGTGTGTGTGTGTGTGTGTGAGTGTGTGTGTGTGTGTGAGTGTGTGTGTGTGTGTGAGTGTGTGTGTGTGTGTGAGTGTGTGTGTGTGTGTGTGTGTGTGTGTGTGTGTGTATGTGTGTGTTCAGCAATAATAACACTGCAGTGTAGAGACCGAGACTGCCCCTATTGCCCATGTCCTTGTCTCATATAGGCAACATTTGGGTCAAAGTGTATTGGATTCCCACATGCATAACAAGAGTGACCCTTAGATTAGTATCTGTCCCAGACCCCCTTCACTGCCTCTTCACTCTTTTCATGTGTGGATAGTGCTTACAAAACAGTGATTCGTACACTAATCTTGGTGGTTGGGCTCTATCTGGTCTGAATGGTAAGGACAAATTTTTAGAAAGGAGAGCCACAAACTTGCTCTACGATGCACTCTGAGATTTACCAGAAGATGTCACTGTAGACTTAAAACAGAGAAGCAAATTAGGGTATGAGGACTGTCAGCAAAGCAAGAAGGTGACACCAGAGTTAACCACTGCCCAGGAGTCCCATTACAATGCATGCCTAGGAAAGCTGGTTGAAAGGTTAATCCAAATGCGTCACTGGATTAAATACATTTCTCTTTTTTCAAAGAATCAAGCTAATTGCCACTAACCTCTTGCCTTGGGGCTAGCATTAAAGTTCCATAAATATGTTTTGAATGAATGATGGAATGAATGAACACCAAAACTAGGAATTGGAGGAGGGAGTTCATGAGTTTATAGTCATCTGTATTGGTACAGGAATCTAGGAAACAGAAACTACTACTTTTCAGCAATGGGTCTTTTCAGAGAGGAATTTTAGGGGTACTAAAAGAAGCACAGACACAAATGAAGGTGCCCTTGGTTTCCTCTTCATTCTCACACCCCAGATTCTGTGCCCAATGATTTTTTACTTCATGAAGACATATACTTTTTTTTTTTAAAGAACTCTTACCTTCCATCTACCTTCTTACAATTTGCTTACCTGTCTGCACAACAGCTATGACCATTTGGTGGTTGTTTTAACCCATTCAATGGCCTGAGCAGTGGAAGCTGCAGACTGACAGGGCACTCCACTCTTCAGTAGGGAACTGCTGGGTAGGCACAGAGGACACCTGGGCACCTTCAGATAAGCCTTCCACCTCATGCTGAGCAGCAATGGACACTGGAACTAGCATGATCCACTCACACTGAAATTCCTTCTTGGAATTCCCTTGCCTTTTCAATAGCAGCTTGCTCCTCCTCCATCTCTTCAGGACCTCTGTAGAAATAGAGACTAGGCATGACCTCCCACGGATCTTCATGGGAAATGGGTCCACACATGTGCAGAAGTTGCTGGGCCAGCATCCACCATATCAGACCCACAGAGTGAGCTCCCCTGTTGTTACATGGGATAGCGGTGTCTACATAGTGCAGAGGAGAATGTGTTACACATATGGTAGGCAGGTAAACATCGGCTATCTCTGCAAGGGGCTGGTAGTAAGCCCTGGGATTAGTCACAATCAGATGTGGATCCCTGAAGGCTGCTTGGATCTGCTTAGTGAGGGTCCCAGGAAGGAAGAGGCCAACAAATGTGTGATGCCAGTAGCAGCAGCAAACCTCAACACAGCTCTCTGGCCAGTGTTCCAGGAGGATATAACGCTGACATCAGCATAGTTCTTGATGGCAACAACGGCCTGAACTGCCAGCAGCATCTTCTCCCATGTTCTCTTTCCATTTATGATGAGGATACCATCACTTTGCCTTTTGTAGATGTTCCACCTGGAAGTCAAGGTTGGTGCCACCTAAGTGGGCTTTTGTGGCAAGGAATTTGAAGACACCCTCCTAGTTCATTTGCAGGACATTATGTTAGAGTTTCCTATTTATTTATTTATTTATTTATTTATTTATTTATTATTTATATGTTTAGGTTTTGAGACAGGGTTTCCCTGTACCCCCAGCTTTCCTGGATCTTTCTATGTAGACCAGGCTGACCTCAATCTCACAGAGATCTGCTTGCCACTGCCTCCCAAGTGCAGGGATTAAGGGCCTGTGCCACCATGCCTGGCCCAAGTTTCCCTCATCTTACTTGAAATAGTTCCTTAAGTAAGCAATTAAAAGAATGCTGAAGATTCTGTTTGAGGCTAGGCACAAACACTAAAGTACAAATCTCAAGCAAGTGGGATAATAGTCATAGAAACACAGAACAGAGCCATTGTTCTACAAAACAGCTTAAGTAGAAATACAAACAAGTAATTGTAATTCAGTATCTAAAGAGTTTCCACATAGACTAAGTATGGAAGTGCTATGTAACATAGAGGAAGAAGTATTGCCAGCAGTAAGAGTTCATTTTACTCAAAGGACAGATGGCACTTCAACTGAACTTGAAGGGTGAGTTGCGTCGTACCAGGGAGAGGAGGCACCATGCACAACTCATGATGGAGACATAGAAGATGGAGGCCAGGAGCCCTGAGATGCCAGACCCCATGAGTTGGGGAAAACGGCTCCTTATTGAACAGTCAGTGAGCCAGGTAGTTAAGAAGGTCCTTTCTGGTTTCCTCACAGGGAACTATTCACTATTATTTCAGGTGGAAATGAAGAAATCAGAAAAGCTGCATGTCATCTCCTGGGTTTCCATTTAGAAACGCAAAAACTTGGTTTTGATTGTGATTTTCCTATTGTGATTGTCGTATTTCCTACCACAAATATGCCCTTCTAGTGAGCTCATCCTTCATCCTCTGTATATGAATGGCAATTCACTTTTCACAAAAACGGGCAATAACAGCATCCTTTTTCTCCTTGACTACGCCTAATCCCATAGACCTTGATGTATCCAAGGTGTGGGCTGTGACTGTATACCTGCTATGTATGTGTTTGAGTGTGTCAGCCGATCATTTAAATGTCTGCTATTCTACTGTTTAAACAAAAAACTTTACCATTTGTGGCTCCAAAAGAAAGATGACCACACAGCAAAGCCTCCACAGTTGTTGGCATCTGTTTGTTTGTTCAGTGGGTAAAAATGAATGTTTTGGAATTGATATTGTTAACTTTCCTTTACTAGGAATGGCTCCATGTAGGCAAAGCTTGAAGGAAAGGTGGTTGCTTGCATGTATGCCAATGGTCTATTTCAGTCCGTGACTAACCAGTGTGTTCACTTCTGGAGGCCACGTACCTCTCTGCCTGTCTCTACATTCCATTTCTATAACGTATGAGCCATGATCTTCTAGCAACACCTAGAATGGAGAACTTTATATCAAATATTTTCGATGTGATTTCAGGTTTGTTCATAAGGTTTCCGGATTAGACTAGGTACTGCAAAAATGCTTGCACATAGTTTATAAGAAAAATGATAATCTGAGCTCACTAGTCATCTCCATTTCATTTCCATAAGTCATTTGCTTCCACTGATTCTCCGTTTTGTGATTGGTTTAATAGGGGTTTAGGGGTGGAGAGCACAAAATAAAATGGGTGCATGGTGGGCCAGTAGCATCATCGGTAGCATTTTATCGCTGCTTGGGAAGGGGAAATATAGAATGAGAACGATGGAGAGTTAAGAATGAATGACAAAGCTATTGTCTTGATTCTAACTTTTTCACGTCTGCCGTAGATACAGTTTTGGGAAATTAGGTGAAAAAATTAGCTCTGTGGCCAGCCTAGTGGGATATAAGGAGGAAACTGCAACACAGTTCACAGGACCAGTGCCACCAGATCCATCATTCCTATTTTGCTTCCCTTACTGGTCATGAACATCACATATGCCACACCCTTTCCTGGATGCACTTATATTACCCACATTTCTGATTGTTGTTCCTTGTGCTTTGTCTATAGGAACTTTCACTACATCACCATCCTCCGAGACCCAGTGTCCAGGTACTTGAGCGAATGGAGGCATGTCCAGAGAGGGGCAACCTGGAAAGCATCCCTGCACGTCTGTGATGGAAGGCCCCCAACCTCCGAAGAGCTGCCCAGCTGCTACACTGGTGATGACTGGTCTGGCTGCCCTCTCAAAGAGTTCATGGACTGTCCCTATAATCTGGCCAACAACCGCCAAGTACGCATGCTGTCTGACCTGACTCTAGTGGGATGCTACAACCTCTCTGTCATGCCCGAAAAGCAAAGAAACAAGGTCCTTCTGGAAAGTGCCAAATCCAATCTGAAGCACATGGCGTTCTTTGGCCTCACTGAGTTTCAACGCAAGACCCAGTATCTGTTTGAGAAGACATTCAATATGAACTTTATTTCGCCATTTACTCAATATAATACCACTAGGGCCTCTAGCGTAGAGATCAATGAGGAAATCCAAAAGCGTATTGAGGGACTGAATTTTCTGGATATGGAGTTATACAGCTTTGCAAAAGACCTCTTTTTGCAAAGGTATCAGTTTATGAGGCAGAAAGACCATCAGGAGGCCAGGAGGAAGCGTCAGGAACAACGTAAATTTCTGAAGGGAAGGTTCCTTCAGACCCATTTCCAGAGCCAGAGTCAGGGCCAGAGTCAGAATCCGAGTCAGAATCTGAGTCAGAACCCAAATCCCAATGCAAATCAGAACCTAACTCAGAACGTGACTCAGAGCCTGACTCAGAATCTCACTCAGAGTTCAAATCCCAACTGGATCCAGAAGGAGAACAGGGCAAGTCAGAAGCAGGGCCCTGGCCAGGAGCAGAGTGAGAGCAACACGAGCAATGGCACCAATGACTACATGGGCAGTGTGGAGACATGGCGTTAAGGGGCTCTGAAAGGCTTGTGCACACTGCTTCCCAAAACACCACCAAAAAGATGGCACAGCTTAGAAGATGAAAATGCCCAAACACATCCACTTCCTTCATTTCAGAAGTTCAAAAAAGTGTAGATGTTGCCTTTACAGTTGCCTTTCGATTCAGTGTTACACTGTGTGTGAGTAAAGCAGATCTTGATATGTAATTAAATTGTCTTTTTTTTTTTTTTGGTTGAACTATTTCTGAAATCCAAAAGCCAAACCAGATTCACCAGAAATTGCTGTTCAGATATTTTAAGAAGTTCTTAAATTAGGTATGGAGACACAAAGAAAACATAAAATGTGGCCATTTAATTTACAGCTAAGAAATAGAATTTAAATGATTCAGGATACACTGTTAAAACCCAATCTTGAAAGCAAACCTTTTCCCCCCCAAGGGTAAATATAAGTAAAACCAAAGAAAGACTAAAAGAAACATAGAACCTTTCATTTTCTTCTTGTTTAAACAGAATAACAACTGATGATAAATTTTTACCAAACTCCAGAAAATAAATAATTCTACACTGAAATGTAGGTGGTTTTATGCAAAAAAGAATTGGCTTTTCAAATAGATCAGGAGTCATATCTTGTCATTTAAGAGCTGTCTAAGATTTAAAATTTTTTCTACTTTCTACTGATTAAAGGTTTTAAACAGGGTGTATCTTATATTAACAAAACATATTTTTCTCCAAATGTAAAGATCTAATTTCCAGATGCTTTCAGGGCACTGTAATTTCAACAGTTTCAATCTTTTTTGCATTGCTTCTCTTTCACTTTAAGGCTTCTTCGAGTTGTGCTCATTCCAAATGAACCCATGTATAGAATTTTTCTTCATCATCTAAATGGTGTGTTGCTAAACCTCTTGTGGTATATAATCCCAGATGAAAGTCAGGACTTTATTTCTATAACGTCGTCTTATCAATTTCTGTGTGGTGAGGTCCTAGCCAAGAAACTCTCACACAGGATAATGTATCTCAAAATATTGCTGAACTTATTCTTGATCAGGTTAAATTGAACCTGAATATGAATTGTTAATTACTTTGTGCACATCTTTATTGTAATGTTTCCCATTTGGCTGGCTATTTCTGGCCCATAGTTCTTCTTTGTGTTGACAAATTTGTACACAATGATATGAAAAGAGCAAAAGTGAAGCGTATTCTGCAGTGAAGTGTCAGGAATATTCAAGTTGTAGAGAATAATTTGGTACTGGAAGTCTGTGCAAAAATACTTTGATGGTATTAATTACGATCTGAACAAACGAAGAAGAATATACCTACTGTGTTCCTGAGCATCATAAATTCTTGGCAGTTTCCTTTTATGGGTGTTTCTACAGTTTTGTAAAAACTTACATTAGTCCCTTGACTTTCAATCAAAGAGGTAACTAGAAGTAGCATTTATGTTTTCAGGAGGGACATGCTTAGAAGTGTGACCATAAAGTCACATCTAGCACAATCTGCCCAAGTGCATGACCTAATTTCACCTGTAATAATATGGCCACAAGTTGGAGAAGAAGTTATGTATTTGGATTGAAAGGGATTTTCTTAACTCTGAGCTTGTACCAGTATTTATAGCTTTTTTTTGTGGTATTGAAGTCTTGAGAATTATGAGACCTAAAACACTGGAAGGAAATTTTCTTTAAGAGCACATCTTGAAGTCAAAGTGTTTTAGAATTAATCTATTTGGTGTACATTGTGTTCTTAAAATATTCTGTAGATCACTATGGTATTTCAATTTCTTTAGTTTTAATTGAAAGTGTTTGCTCTTAAAACTGACAGTATTGGAAAGCAGGAAGAAGTTCGAGCCAGTGGAAAAGCTTGTTACAGACAAAAAATTGTGTTATTGCTGTGGTGTGCATGGTTTGCAGAGATTAAGTGCATTTTCTCTGTCTATACTGATTATTGTATATAGAGGATGTTATAAATATACATTTTTGTCATCATTATGTAAATCCCACGATTTCAACTGTAAACATCTGTTCAGTGGTGAAGCTTTACAAGCCATTCACTGATTTCGTGTAATTTAACAATAGATGTGAAATAAAGTTTTAATTGCAGGCTCTGAGTAATCTCGTGATTTCAAGGTTTATAGTCAATAGGCAGTGTAACATCATAACCCAGAATAAAAATCTTTTTGAAAAACAATTTTCTTTTTGACAATTGACAGCTAAGGATCTAAACTGGATGGCCCATTCTTAGCACGCATGCTGAAATAGCCTTCATTTGGGATGTTTCCTCCTAGGAGGCCATGATTTGAGTAACACAGAATTGTCTGTGAAAGACAAGGTTTGCCTTGCAAATGAAACGTGCATGTGTTTTAATTTAAAAGTTATTAAAGTAGATACTTTCATATGTAATAGGATGCAGAAACAGGGAAAAGGCTGAAGGTAAGCATTAACATTTTGGCTCTGACCACAATTTGCTCTAATTATATTCAATGTACACATTCCAGACCTTTGGGGTTGGGACTATGGGTGGGGATCATTTGTGCTTGCTCCTTTCCAAAGAGAATTTAAATATCCATTCCAAGGATTAGAGGGAAGAAAGCTTTGAGTTTGGGTGGGTGTCAGTATCCTCAGCTTGTAAGCTGTACTTATGAGGTTTTGCCCATCAACCATTTCTTGAGCAGAAATTGGAGACCACATCTGGGATGCAGCTCAGTAACAAAATGCTTAACGTGCATAAGACCATGGTTTCCATCCCTAGAACCATATACACACAAAAATTGGTCGGATGAAAGGCTCATTCTATTAAGGTCCCCATGGTTAACTTGGCATGGGAGGATCTCTATAAAGGAATATGGAGGCCAATTACTTGAAATACGTAGTAAATAAAGGTTAGCTTCATTTTCCATTGAGAAGTATAGATACCTTTGTGCTCACTGAAGTGGGGAAAAGGTGGGAAATCTGTGCATATCTCCAAGAAAATAAGGAAATAGTGTCCTGAGGAAATGGGCTATCCGAGCTGGGAGAAGCTAAATGAAGAGGTAACTAGTCCACCCCGTTCCCAAAGACTTTAATTTTTTAAAAAGTATTTTATTTATTTTTATTTTATGTGTATGAGTGTATTGCCTGCATGTATGTAAGTGCACCTGTATGGTGCAATGCCCGCAGAGGTCAGAAAAGGGCATCGAATCCCGGGAACTGGAGTTAATGGACAGTTGTTAGCTGCCATGTGGGTTCTGGGAATCAAACCGGGGTCCTCTGCAAGAGCAGTCAGTGCTCTTAACCACTGAGATATCTCCCCATCCCCTACTTTATTTTTTTTTAAATTTGTTTTTATTTTATGTGTATGAGTATTTTGCCTGCACGTATGTAAGTGCACCACATGTGCGCAGTGTCTGTGGTGCCCGGAAGATGGTGTTAGATCCCCCTTGGAACTGGTTGGTAGCTGTCATGTTGGGAGCATGTGGGTGCTGGAAGTGAAACCTACGTTCTCTGCAAGAGCAGCCAGTGCTCTTAACCACTGAGCCATCTCTGCAGCCCCTAGTTCCCAATGACTTAATTGGGATTGTCCCTGTGTCATAGTTACATTTTCTGCCACTGTGAATTTATAGATGCAATTTAAGGGCTGGAGAAATTTTTTGTCTCATAGTTTGAGGGTATGGTCTATCATGGTGGCAAGACTGTGAGACTGCTTGCTTATATCTCCATAGACCACAAAGCAGAGGTGGGCCATGAAGGAGAGGCCAGGCTATAAACCTCAACCTGCCGGCGACCCACTTCTATCAGCTAGGACACACCTCTCAAATGCTCCACAATGTCCCAAAACAGTACCATCAACCAGAGACCATCTACTCAAACACACGAGCCTATGGGGCACATTTCACATTCAAACCATCGCTAACCTTGAGAGTGATAACAAATATGATCAAGGAGTGGAGACAAAGAGAATGATACTTTCCTTTTATGGGGATGAAAATAAGCAAGATACACAGCACCACAGGTTTTGAACAGTTGCACTTTCACCCTGCCTGAGACAAGAGAATCATGGAACACTCCTGGCTCACAATGTGCAAGCCACTGTTTTCTGGCATTATCCTAATGATATGGTTCTTGACACTCGAATGTTTGGAAAGGGAATACAAGTGGCCATCAGCAGTAAGCCAGGATTTGTCCTCACTAGGGATTAAACTAAACAAACAACAACTGAGTGTTTGGGGGCTGGAGAGATGGCTCCGCGATTAAGAGCACTGACTGTTCTTGCAGAGGACTTGGGTTCGATTCCCAGCACCCACATGGCAGCTAACAACCATTGGTAACTCCAGTTCCAGGGGAATCTGACACCCTCTTCTGACCCCTGAAGTCTTTGCCTGACACAGGTGCACTTACATATATGCAGGCAGTACGCTCCTACACATTAAAAAAAAAAAACTGAGTGTACATAATACTAACAAAAACCAAATTTATGCTGATTCCCAGTGTCACCACAGGGAACTTAGAAGCCTGATCTTTTACTTGGGAAGAAGGAACTATCGCGATACTTTCCACTATTAAGGAATTTGGCCCACAGCACAAAATGCTAAGTTGCATCCTTCAGATCTCCATAGATGCACAAAACCCCAAGAACTTCAGGAGAAACTCAACTGTTCCTGGAACACAACACACTGATTTCTTTGCTTTTTTTCTCTGGCCACTGCCACTTCCATGCTGTAGCAACGGGAGTAGCTGAGACGGTGCTCTGTGGCCTGTCAAAGCCAAAATTGATTTCCTTGCCCTTTGGACAAGTCAAAAATTTGTAAATATTGAAAACATCTCAGAATTTCCCAGAGTTTAAGAGAACAGAGAGGTGTGACTCAAATAACATACTTTCCAAGTACACTACACCACCAGTCACATTTATTGAATATACACAGCAGGATACTGGCCCCTTAGGCCCAAGAGTGGGGAGAAGCTGGTGTTCTCCTCCTGACTGAGGACATAAAATTCAAGTGTTATGTTAGTGAATATAAACAAAAGCTGAATTCTTCTATTATCCCAGATTTTTGCTTTATGTTCACTGAGAGAGAGAGAGAGAGAGAGAGAGAGAGAGAGAGAGAGGTATTTGAGCATGTGCTTGTAAGAATTAAAACAATACCTAAGAGGCTGGAGAGATGGTTCAGCAGTTAAGAGCGCAGGTTGCTCTTGTAGAGGACCCAGGTTCTGTTCCCAGCAACCACATGGCGGCTAACAACCCTCCTTAACAACAGTTCCAGGCTATCTAATGCCCTCTTCTGATCTCCACGGGCATTGCACAGCATGGGTGCACTCACATGCAGGCTAAACACTCATAAATATAAAAATAAAAATACCTAAGTATGTGAAGTTAAAGTGAATAAATCCCTACAACCTCCGACTCTCCTCCAAGAGCAAACTTCAGCCCTCTTGGTTCTTGTCACACTGAAATTCCTCTTTTCTCCCCTCTGCACCTCTACTCCTCCTTATCTCCTGTCCTTCCTTTTCCTCTCCTCTTTTCTCCTCTCCCTCACAGAATTAAAAAGATGAAAATAAGTTTGTTCTTGGTTTTAGTCCTCTCCCATTTCTTGATGCTCACCAGTGTCTCATGGTTTCCCTGGTTCCCTTCCCAAGTAGGACTATGGTGGGCAGTTTCCCATCACCCTCCACACTGACTGTTGCAGAGGTTACAGGTTGGTAGCAAATGCTTCCGTCACATACTACCTGGATTGAAATCCAAGCTCGACACATGCCAGCTCTATCCATGATCTGAGAAAGTCCTTAACCTTTCCACATTTCCCTTTCCTTCTATACCAATGGGGGAAAATAATATGAGCTACAATGTCAGAAATTCATTGTAAGCATTGGAGTTACTGTGCATAAAGCACTTAGCGGAGTGACTGACATGTGGCAAAACTTACATGTGTTTGACAGCAGGAACATTATTGTCATTACTATTCACAGCATGAAGGCCATGTGTTTGCTGAATTTTCATGTCTTCTGAGAATAAGATTTGAAATGACTGGGTTGTGGAGGTAGTCTGGAAATGTAGCTCTTATCTTACATGCACAAGATCCTAGATTTCATTCTCAGCACTGAAATGAATGGATGAAAGTAGAATAAAAATTGAGAATATTGGCAAGAAGTGAATCAAAATGTAGACTATATCCTATTGTGACTAATTTAAGAATTTTCTTGCTTGACATGGTGGCTTATGCTTATTATCTTGGCACTTGGAAAGCAGAGGCATGGGGATTACTGAAAGTTCAATGCCAACCTGGCTAATGTAATGAATTCCAGGGCAGCCTGGGCTAGAGAGCATGATCATATCTTTAAAAGAATGAAAACAGAAGAGGATTTTCTAAAACTCTATATAATCATATGCATATAATCATATATACAAAAACCTTTTCTAAGAATTACATCTAAGCTTTGAATGTAGCCAGTGACAAAAAATATTCTGAAAGATCTAACCCATGAAATGCCAAGTGAGTCACACACACTCTCCAGCAATAAAAATGAATTATCTGATAAGCGTAGCTGATTTGGACCTACTTCATCACACTTTGACACGGATGACTCACAAATCCATTCTTTCCCCATCCATCCACTTCTCCACCCAGCATCAGCAGAGGTCAAGCTTGTCTGACTGAAGAGATCTGAGGTGGTTCCAAAGTTGCCTCTATCAGAGATCTGGCCTGGTGCCTGGCATTCCCATACTCTCAATTCCCATAGTCTCAATTCTGGGTGAAAGGTTCACTCAGAAGACACTATTAAAATTCTATCCTGTTTGAATTTTTCATTTCAGTATTGTTGCCCTAAGAACAACATAAGGTTCAATAATCCTCATCAAATTTTATTGAATTATAAATTCTATTCTTATTATGACTGGCTCAGTCTTGTGACTTCACTAATCTTGGTAAGATTTAATGATGTGTAACTGGGCCTAGGAAAAGCTTAAGAGATTTTGTGGCTTAAACCATCCTCTATTAGATTTCATGTGACTTGGAAGGACCTGAGAAGAATTACCGAATCTCACAAGAGAGTGTGATACCTACCGTAGTTTGATAGGACATAACCAACCACTGGAGCCAGTCTTTAAAAACCTTTTAATGGATTAGTCC